GTTGTTTAAAATTGTTGTTCTGTCCATTTTTACAATAAATTTTCTTGGAAGTTAAAATTAAACGTAATTGTAATAATGTTACGGAAACACCAGTGTGTGTATTTTAATTATAAAAAAATGAAATTGTGTGATAAACAAATACGTATTTATTTATGTAAATTATTTACTTCTTCTTTGTACCACAACTAAATACAGTCTACAACCTTCATGAAAGTATAGGGTTTTAAATGAAAATAGGATTATATGTATTACAGCAAAAAATTAAAGTAGTATCATTGGTAAATCGAATCGATTGATGATATTTTTCACTCCGAGTTCCAATTGCATTCTAATTTGGACAGAAATACCGAATAACAATGATTTTGATTTACCATAAGACCACTGTCTTAACACTTCAATACATAACCGGCATATTTTATCGTAACCGAGTGTTTATCTTGGTAACACAACTTCATTGTGAAATAAGCTTAATAAGCATTTTTTACAAAGTCTGTTATATTCAATCATTGCTGAACTATTGTATATTGTCCGCAAATGTAAAAAAATACATTTGAATTGTTTTTACAGAAGTCATAGTTAAAGATAAATGAAACACAATCTTTTATTACACGTTAATATTATATCTCTCTCAATAATGGCGCGCTATAAACTATTTTTTTTTTTTCAGGCGGTGTAAACGACTATAGTTATTTTCAGACCATCTAAAATAAAGTAAAAGACAATATAATGCTAAGTCAGAGAGTATTAAATAGAAATATAAGCTATAAAACGAATTTTGTGAAAAAACAAATAAATTTGCCGATTCAAAGGGCTTGTTGGATGAAGTCAATTATTTTCGAATAATCACTTTCATCAATTTTTGCTCCTATGTGAATAATTTAAACACCTTGAAACTTTAAAAGTGTATTTTACAAGAAAGAACCATGAATATTTACAAGTATAACTCGTTGCTTTCAGGGAGATTGTTGCACTGAATTCTTAATATTAAAAGGATAATAATTATACCTCTGATTTCCCTACCAACTACAATTTTAACAATAGAAATACAACCGATAACAAATACCTAAGTTATTGATATAAAGAACTATATACATATGTAAATTTAACTACCGATGGTACATTTAATTACCGGTACTTCCAAATGTACTTTTAATGGGGTGGGTTCAATTGTCCTTTTGTGTACGAACATTCCACAACCAGGTAAATATACAAGTCACTGACACCATGATAAGCACTGAACAGGGCTATATATATATATATATATATATTAATCTACATACAAAGAAAAATGTGACGTGATACGTTAAAACAAAGTTTATATTTGCAAAAGATAGACCAACATTTGCATGCTTAAGATAAATTTATACAAAAAACTTTTTTATCGCAGACCTGTGTAATCAATGATAACATGCAGTGGCGGATTTAAACATTTGCCGCCAGTAGGCTATTCAAATTTTGCCGTTCCTAGTGACCTTTACAATTCGATACCCTAATTCACAATCATATTAATTACAATTTTTTAATCAATGAAATCGTAACTTTATGATTTGTGCATTATCGTCCTAATTACACTACCTTTTTCCCGCATTTAGTGATTGTGATGTAGAGCATCGATGTGTCAGTTCCTAGATTATTTTTACAACCCAATGATTTAGTTAAAATTGGATTTCATATCAACACACATTTAGTGAATGGTCATCTCACGAATGGTGAAACATAGTACATATTGAATTGTTTGTGTGGACCTGATAATATTTCGGTATATAAATATGAATCTTTTTAATTTCTGTATGACAAAAACCAATTTTGGTCCCAAATTTGCCGCCTAAAGTTCAAGCCTGCTCAGCCTGCCGGTAAATCCGACACTGATAACATGAACGACATTGTTAAATCTAAAATGCGGAAGTTCAAAATAATTCAATTAATAAAACTGCTACCTCTAATTGTGTTCTATGTATTCAGTAGAAAGATCAAGAGACTGAATTTTCCAATAGCAGAATACGACAACTTTTCATACTTGATTTAAACAAAGTATGAATAACGCTCTTGAAATCCACAAAAATATTTTGTGATGAAAACTTACACACATATATCCTAGTTTTGTACAACATTTGAAGTATTTAATGTACATCTCTGCAGTTTTATTAGGAAATAAGAAAGATACAAGAGATACATATGAATCTTGTTGTAATGCGTAGAAAATAAATATTTCGAAAAAATATTTGGGACGGCTTTTAACCTTCCGTCGGGCGCAAGTCACATTTGGACATTACATGGCGCAACTCTCAGATTAAAAATAATATATGTCTTTCTGTCATGAAAAAAAGTGTTTTAAAATAAAATACAGTACTTTTACACAATGTCTTATATTAATAGAACAATAAGATAAGAAAAAAATGCCATTCTAGATAGTAATGAGGCTCTTAATATAACTAAGTCATTTTTTAATAGAATAACTGGTAAATACTAAGTAGTCATTTGTGAAGAGTTACAACAAATGGTTCTAAGTTTCTAATCACTATCGTAATTATTAACCATATAGAAAACAGAGTCTCAACATTTGCCACAAACCATATTTGCGTTCTCTAAACAAAAAATACATGCATACATTTTTTACATGCATATTTGGAGTATCTAATTTTTTTAGATTTCTGCATTTGAAGCTGCTCTTTGTTTGTCCTTCGTGACAAGTGTTAGGTGCGCTGGGTTTTTAAGATTAAGGTTTAAATTTGGATAGTCCCTGCTGTAGTTCAATAGGCGTTCCAAATGAAC